TTATAGGTCATATGGTCAGAAGAACAAGTCACAACCTGGGGCTTGTGATTGGCATCTGAAGTGCAATTAGTCTGTGGGACCAAGCACTCAACCTGTTCAGTCTAACTTATATATGTATTTGTTCAGGTAGACTTCCTTGAAAATATAATCACCATGTAGTGCTTCCTTTTGTAACAAAAATGCCCCCCAGCCAGTCTGTTAGTTGTCCAGGTAATAGTTCCTATTGCTACTATCTTTTAGAAACAACTAGTCACTGTGATGCATAGTTGGTCACTATGATGCGTATTGTATAAACTAATCAAAGGCAACCAAGTATTCTACCTCTGCATCTCCTCTTTGCAACCCCGGAAAAATATCCTTCCCTGGGCCTTTGAGGTCTGACATTTTGAGGGACAATTGATTCTTGTCATCGGCTGTCTAACATTAAGTAAATCTGCCTCTAAATCCTGGGTGTCATTTTGGTGTTTCTGCTTGTTGTTACATCTGGTGCATTGGCTGGGCAGACTGACTGTGCTGACCTCTTTAGTCACTGGTCATGGCTCTCTCAGATGGAGCAAGGATCTCTCCAGGTCTTAATGGGAAGGCATGCCTTCAAGATTTCTCAAGTCCCCTTGGCAGTCTGGAGGAAGATTCTTGACACCCTGCTGAGGGGCTCACACCATGCCCAAAAGGGAGGATGACACAGTATGGTCTGGTCATTGGATAAGGTAAGTCCTCTCGAGGCAACCCAGTTTGTCCTGCTCAGCTCAACCCAGTTTGTCCTGCTCAGCTCAAGCTCATCAGGTCTACCCTCAAGGGAAAGGGATTAGAATGTTTAACCTCTGAGTGCCTGTTGAATGCATGTGTGAGTGAATGGACCAGACAGTGTAAGCAATAGACTGCTCATTTGTGCACCAACTCTGGGAAGCACTGGTTGAAGTGACTGATTGGACCCTTGCCTGCAATTCTATGGCAGTTTACAAATGGCATAACAGAGGCCTTGCACCCCTGTTAGCTAAGTTGTACCTAAGTGCCCATGAGGGTCACAGCCAGGCAGGCATCTGAATAGTCTCTCTCTGAGGGGACACCCAAGTTTTGTTGTGCCATCATTCAAGGGTATGCAATACACACATAGAAAGTCAAAGATGGAAACTAATTAGTCAAAACCCACAGTCCCTGCCTGCAGGAAAAGGGCTTTTCCAAGATTACAATGTTAAAAATGAAACCAAGCTGCTTCAATAAAAAAAAGAAAAAATATTATTCTTGAGAACTCTGACTTGGCACCCTCATTGGCCATTGCAGTTGCAGCCAACACATATAGCTTTGCTTCCCACTTCCAACTCATCTATTTACAGCCAACTGACCTGGTTCCAGCTAGCCATTGCCTGCATCTGGCCATAGAAGCCTTCTCTCCAGAGTTTTCTGCCTCTTATTCTTGTCATATGGTATCATCTAATGCCTACCTGAGATGCCTGTCAGCAGTCCTTCTGACTACAGTCCTTTCATCAGTCTAATGGGCTTAGACTGGGCTAGACTGGGCTCCCATCTTCCTGGATCAGAATTCTCTGCCTTGGGGCCAGGAAGACAGCTCAGCAGCATAAGCCCCTTGCTTCACAAGCATAATAAGGTCCCAAGTTTGATCCCAAGTACCACATACACACACAAAAAAAAGACCCTCTGCCTTCAAAAAGTTCCCCTGGGCCAGTGAGATAGCTCAGTGGACTAAAGCCCCTGTTTGGGTAAACTTTGGCAAGTACAGGGAGCACAGTTTGATCCCTGGCATCATATGCTGCACTAGCCCTACCCACAGGGTGGGCTGAGCCAGTCACAGAGTCTGGCCATAGTGGCATATGCCTGTAATACCAGCGCTGGGGAAGCTGAAAACAGGAGGATCACTGTGAGACTGAGCTGTGTAGTGAGACCCTGTAATAACCAAGTACATTAAAAATAATTTAAAAAAAAAAAGTTCCCTTGTCAGAAGAAAGTTACTATGACTGGGACAACGGGGACTCTTGCCTCTTTCCCTTTTGCCAGATGCAAACTTGCAGCCTGGGATGACATCTCCCCATACCACTTCTGGGAAGAGACCTCCTGTTCAAGTTAGAAACTACCATTTCCACTGGATGTGGTGGCGCACACCTATAATACAAGCATTTGGGGGGCTGAGCCAGGAGGATCATTGAGAGTTCAATACCAGTCTGGGCTACAAAGTAAGCTGAAGGCCAGCCTGAATTGCATAGTGAGATCCTGTCTCAGAAAGATAAGAGTAGGAAGGAGCTATCATCTCCTTTGTACCAAGCCAGTCGACCTCCCTCTCATTTAACCCTGCACTTTCAACTCTTTGACTGTTCCCTGAGCGGAAGATAATGCCTTGCATTAGCCTGAAACAGATAACCACAGTCCTGAAATTTTGAAAACTCTCAGAGGTATGAGCTGAAGACTCACTGCTGCATCAGACCACCAGTCATGCTCCCATATAAACTCTGTGATCCCCATTAACAATATTTTGTGTCACAGGAAGCACACAGGCATCCCGCTACTCTCAGCCACCTAAAGCAGTTTGCACCTTTGCTTGCAAAGTTGCTCCTATAAGTATCTTCAACTGGGAAAATCTTGAGACAAGGCACAGTTTATTTGAACTCAGTTGCCACCAGAGGTTAGGAACTCTCCCACTATTTTCAGGGAAGCTTTAACACCAGATTTGGCCAAGCCACCAGCACCTTTTATCCAAGACACAGCCTGTTTCTCTGTCCCTTCCAGCTCCATCAGGGTCCTCTGAGTATTGAATTGCTAAAATACACCTCTCCTACCTGTAAAGACAGTTCATGATCTCCAAGCTAACAATCCTGCCATGATTTTCCTCCGTATACAATGCCTTAGTCTTCTGTCACCCACAGTCTAGTGGCACATCTGCCTGGACATAAAGACTGCTTTTTTCTGCCTTCAATTGGTTTACCAGCCCCTCTTCACAAAGACCCCACTTCTGGTCTTAAAAGTCAACTGACCTGGACTCATCCTCTCAGAGGTTCAAAACTCATTTACCCTTTTTAGAGAAACTCTCACAGCTGGACTTCACTAGTTTCACAGCACAAAATATCGCTGCACTTCTGATTAATGATACTCAAGCTGCCTGCTGGAAAGGCACAAAAGCTCTGCTAATAATATTTGGTAAAAACTGGTTATAAGAAAAAACCTTCTTGAAGCTGCTGGCTTTCATATAATCTGGATCCTTGAATTCACAAAGCAATAATGCTTCCTCAGAATGTCACCCCCTGGGAGCGTCAATGACCTACCTGTGCAAATACTTGGATCCAGTTGCTAAGGGCTGCCTCTCCTTTGCTTCCATGCTTTAACAGCCACTATCCTGATTTTTTAAAAAAGCTGACAAGCTCACCTTAAATCAAGATCTAACTCTCCAGGTGCCACATGTTGTATTGGACCTCCTCAACAACTGTGAACTACTCAATCATGTTAGGTACCTGCCAAACAAGCTGGACCCTCCAGACCATGACTGCCTGGCACTGACTAGCCAACCAGACTTTAGAAATGGATCCCCTGACAAATGTGGAGTATACCATGTTTACAGATGGAAGTAGTTCTGTTAGGAATTGAGTCCGATAGGCTAGATATGCTCACTTTAGACAAGGTTATTTTGGCCAAAGCTTTCCTGCTACTGCTTTCTGCTTCTGTTGGAAACCTGCCACCGCCAACACCAAACCTACACTCAAATAATCGTCCAGAGGCCCAAGCCCCCTCCAGGGATCAAACTGACTGAAACATCAACACCAGACAGAAAACAGAAAAACTTAATCAGAGGCAGAGCCCCCAGCCTGTCCCCACCACAGGTTCTATAAGCACAAGCTGCAGCCCCAGCACCCGTACCCCTGCATTCTGTTTAGGCTTCAGTGTCTCTGTCATTGGCCTTGACCTCCCCCCATTTAAATATACACTGACAGACTTAGTGCTCATCTGCACCTTCTTACACTGACCCAAGACATGCCCTGCCCACACTGAAAAGACAAAGTTTATAGGAGTCCTGCTTTAAAAAATCACCCCCAGATATGATCTACTCTTGATCATTCATTGGAAGTGACAGTGGGACTACACAGCACACAAAATCACAAAGCAGATGCAGTCTCCACTTTTGAGGAATTCATGTCAAAGGAAAAAGTGATAGAATAAAGGATATACTGAGTCTGAGGAGTTTTCATTTATACTCATTCCAAAGGGTGATTAGAAAAAAGAAGAAAAAAGGGTGATTAGTATTTTTTAAATTTAATTTTTTTCAATGTTGACCATTGAACCAAGTATCTTTTCACTGAGCTCCACTCCAGCCTTTTTTATATTTTATTTTGAGATAGGATCTTTGTCTCAGTTACTCTTCTCTCATAGAGGGACAAATATCTGACATGCAAAATGAAGGAAGAAAGGGTTTATTTAGCTCACAATTACTGGAGGTTTCAGTCCATACTCAGCTGGCTCCATGGCAGAGTGGCGCATGGCAGAGAGCAACCTTTCAAGGTGGTGGCGAACAAGAGAGCAAGAGAGGAGTAGCAGCCACAGTGGCAGCAGAGAGCAAGTCTATCTCTGTCTCTCTTATGTTACATTCAGGCTGTTGGCCCCAGCTTGGGTGTAGCACTCACAGCCATAATCCCAGCAGTACTCAGACCCATAATTGCAGCAGTACTCAGACCCATAATCCAAGCCTTGGATCATTAATTAATCACAAACTGTGGCACTGTACCTCAATGACTGCCTGAGGCTTTGGGGAGACAAATGTACACAAACCAAAACAATCTTGCTAAGTCACTAAGTTGCCAGGCTTGGCTGAAATTTGGAATCCTTCTGTTACAGTCTTCCAGAGTACTGGGATTATAGGCATGTACAACCACAACCAGATTCTAAACTCTCATTTTACTTTTTTTTTCCTCCTCCTTTTACACTTGCTAACTACTGCACTAGAACTCACCAATTTCAAAGAGGAAACCTTTGCTTTAATCAACTATTTGCTTTCTGTTTAGCTCCAAAACCTTGGAATCAATCCAGCAAACATTGGATTTAGCACTCTGACCATGGAATCTGACAAGTTCATTTGTGTTAGAGAGAAAGTTGGAGAACAAGCACAGTTGGTAATTATTGACATGAGTGACCCAATGGCACCTATCAGACGACCTATCTCTGCAGAGAGTGCAATCATGAATCCAGCCTCTAAGGTGATAGCTCTAAAAGGTAAGCTTGTATTTTAGAAAGGAATGTTATCGTACTGTAACTACTTTGTTACCTTAAATGTTGGGAAGGTATCAGTAAACTCACAGCCATATGTCATCATTAGTACTCACGACCATAAGCCAACTTGATACCAAAAGTTTTACTAAAAATTTCATGTAGAGGTAAGAACATGAGCTAAAGTGTTGATAAGATTGTAAAATAGCACAACCAAAGACACTGGAAAGGGCTGGTGAGATTGCTCAGTGGTCTAAAGCACCTACTTGGAACAAGCTTAGCAAATGCACAGGGACCGCGGTTCAAACCCCCAGCACCACATGCCAGCCAGCCCCGCTCCCAGTGGGCTGAGCTGGCCACACACACACACACACACACACACACACACAGACACAAATAAATAAATAAATAAAATAAATAAATTTTAAAAAAAGACACTGGAAAGTACAGACGCTGGAAATCATATATTCCAAAAAAAACCTAAAAATAGAACTATTGTATGACCTACCTATACTACCACTCCTGGGTACATACTCAAAGGAATCAAAATATATTATAGAGATACCTGCATACCCGAGTTTATTGTGACATAATTCACAATAGCAAAAATACAGAACAAGCCCAGGTAACATCAACAGATGAATACATAAACTGTGGCATATATGCATATTGGAGTATTCTTGAGACATAAAGAAGAATAAAATGTCATTTGCAGGGATATGGATGGAACAGAAGATCATCAAATTAGTGAAGTAAACTAGACTCAGGAAGACAAGTATCAGTGTGTTTCATCTAGCAGGAAAAAAAGATAAGAGTAGAAGGGAGGTTTTGAGTGGGACCACCCAGAGCCATCCTGATCCTCACTCCAGCCAATGCCCAGGCCCACTGTGTGAGTGGGACTGCCTGGGGCCCTCCAGATCTTCATTCCAGCCAGTGCCCAGGCCCGTCCTGTGTGCAGAACTTCCTCCATCGAACAGGCCCGGTGTGGAACCCTGCAGCAGAACTCCCTACAGAGAGGCTAGAGGCAAGACCTACCCAGCTGATCCAGGAACAGAATATCTTGCCAGAGTGGCACAGCGGGTTCAATTCCAAGGGCTGCAGCAGAAAGAAGTGGAGCACAGCAGGCAGACCCAAGCCACACCCACCTGGACCACTTTGAACTTGGTAGATCTGGACCTGGTGCTAAGGTAATAACTCTACCAAAAGTCAGAAGACAGTGCTATACAAAATGACAAAGAGAAGAAGCAAAATGCATTCTCAGGCCCCGAGCCCACCCAGAAGAAATGCAGGAAAGAATTGGAAATCACACACCTGAAATCTCTGAAATAATAGTGTCTGAAGTAAAGAAACAACTGCAGAAAGGTAGAGAGGTAATCAGATCAGAAATAATTTCTGAAGTTAAAAAATAAATAACTATAATGAAGTACTAAGTGCTTCTAAAGAAGACACTGAGCAATGTAGGAAAGAAATAGAATACATGAAGCAGATTCAAAGTGATATATAGGAAATTAAAACTTCATTCACAAGCTGGCAAAACTGTTTGAAAGCAAAAATAGACTTTCAGACCTTGAAGACACCATTGCAGCTAGTGAAAAGGTAAGAAAAGATCTCTTAAAAATAGGGAAAAAAACCCTAGGATGCAGGAAAAAATAATTCACCATCTGCAAGATAATGCAAAGATGAACAACGTAAGACTAATAGGCATCAATGAGAAAGAATCAATACAAATGATATAAAAAAATATGAGCTGAAGTAATAGCAGAGAACTTCCCAAATATGGGGAAACAATCTGACATTCAGGTAACTGAAGCATATAGAATTTCAAATAACATCAACTCAATTAAAACCACACCCAGATATATAATAATCAAGATCCTAGGAATTCAGCACAGGAACAATACACTAAAATCCACTAGAGAAAAGAAACATCACATTTAAAGGAAATCCTATCAGAATAATGGCAGATTTCACAAACCATCAAGTCAAGAAGAGCATGGAGCAAGGTACTTCAAGTCTTGCAAGAAAACAAATTCCAACCCAGACTGCTATACCCTGGAAAACTCTGTTTCAAGTTGAATGGAGAAGTGAAATACTTCCATGATAAAGGACAACTAAAGAACTTCATGACGACAAAGCCAACCCTACACAGACTACTGAAAGATATTCTAGAGAGGGATCAAAATGACCACAGCTCCATGAATGAGAATGGAAAGAACCCACCAAATAAGGCAAACAATTAAACACAGGAGAAAAAGAGGTATTCAACAGCAGTCTTTCAGTTATTCTTTTGTATACAGCAGCAAAATACTTCTATCAGTATACTCTAAAAATAGACTTCTCCTGCAACCTGTGGGTCATGATTCTGTCTGGGTCTACTGGGTGGATTTCAAGGAAGTAGCAGTAGCTCAGTCCCACAAGTGACCTGTTCACCAGTAAGCATCATAGACACTGTCCACATCCACCACATACTAGAACTTTGTGCAGTATCCTATCCCCAAATAGTTAAAAGTGCTGTCACATATTTGCCATTCCAGTATTTTTGTTATGTTTTATTCTTAGTAATTCTTTACTACCATGAAAACTTTTTCATAGTTGATATTTTTATATATAGTAACCTAATCAGATATTGTGTGAGTACTCTGAACTGATCATAGATTTGTACATATGATACACTACATTCTGGCCTCTTAGTTGGACTCACAATTTAATTTTAATTTTTAAACATTATTTTGAAATATTTAATTTGGAATTAATATTTAATTAATTTTCTGAATATTGTTTAATTTTAATTTTTGTTTTATGATTTATAATGTTTCTTTGATTTATAATTTACTTATAAGACATGGTATGATATTTTCTCCTAGTATTAGAAACTTAAAAAAAGAGTATAAGAGAGACTTAGAAAAGGGAAAGGAGATTAGCAAAGGAATAGATTTACTATAGACATAAATTTGTATGATTATATTATAATATTCACCAAAAATGTCAAATGCAGAAGAGTGCAAGAGATCTGTTCACATGCTAGAAACCCAAAGAACCCTTTCCTTTTTGCAAAAAGTATCTCTCTGTTTCCTATTGTCTTTTATTTTGTTCTTTATTTATATTTTTGAGTTTCTTATATAAAAGAAACCATTCTATATTTAAACTTCTGTATCTGACTTATTTCACTTAACATTATAGTCTCAAGTACCTCAATTTTTCTACAAATGACTCAATTTCTTTATGGCAGAATAGTATTCCATTATGTATTAATAAAGTCAACTAAATATCTAAAGATTAATAAAGCTTAATAGCAATATTAGTGCTAGGTGTGATGGTGCAAGCTTGTAATCCCAGCATTAAGAGGCTGAGGCAGGAGAATTGCCACAAGTTCAAGGCCAGTGTAGGCTACATAGTGTGTTCAGGGACAGGCAGAGCTATACAGCTAGACCTTGTCTCAGAAAACAACAACAAAAGCCAGGCATGGTAATGCATACCTATAATCGCAGAATTCTGGAGGCTGAGGTAGGAGAATTGCTGTAAATTTGAGATCAGCCTGAACTACAAAGTGGGCTTAGAGCTGGAGAGATAGTTCAGTGGCATAAGTGCCTGCCTGGCAAGTGTAAGATCCTGAGTTCAATCCCCAGTAGGAAAAAAAAAAAAAAATACAGGGGCTGGGGATATAGCTGAGCAGCACAGCACCTGTCTGGCAAGAAGGATATCGTGAGTTTGATTCAAAGTACCGCCCTCCCAAAAAATATAAAAAGTGAGATAAAGGATTAAGAGTAAAAGAAATTAGAGTTTAGATGTAACAGAAAATAGCCAGTGGCACAGTGCCTGCCTGTCAGATGCAAAGTCCTAAGTTCAATTCCTGGCAACCCTCCCCCCAAAAAAACTAACAGAAAACAATAATAAACAAATAGAAGAAAAGAAAGAGGCTGGGGAGATGGCTCAGTAGAATAAGTGCTTCCCTGGCAAGTGCAAGGGCCTGAGTTCAATCCCTGGTTCGGCCAAAAAAAAGAAAAATAGCCAAATGGGGGCACCTCAACCCCCCCCCCCAAAAAAAAGCATTAAGGAAAAAGGGAAATGAGTCCAAAAATTATTTCATGTTTTTCTTTCTAGAAAAGAAAAATGAGTGGTTTCTTTCTGGAGTTTTAAATATTGGAGGGCCGGGGAGATGGTTCAGTAGGATAAGCGCTTGACTGGCAAACGCAAGGATCTGAGTTCAATCCCTGGTTCCGCCAAAAATTAAAAAATAAAATAAAATATTGGACTCCACGAGATATTGGAATCCACCAGACATTGAGCCACTACTAAATCCTTTTGTTTCCATACTCAGATATTTCTGTGTGAATGCTGAATACTGCTCTGCCTTACCCTTCTGGGTGTGGTGACTCGAGCTGCCTGCTGTAGAGCTATATTCCCTCCAGCCTCTGCCAGTTCCTGTGTCCATGTTCCTCAAGCTTACTTTACTTTATATTCTGTGATGTGCTACCCCTGTTCCAGAGGGCCCTATGTCCATATACTGGAAGCTGAGACAATAGTCCAAGCTAAGGGGTATATCTGATCATGTTGGCTGATGAGTAAAACAAACAGACCACTGATCCTCTATACTGGATGTAGACTGTAGGGCAGGGGCTTAAGCAGTCTGCTGAACATTAATGCCAGTACTTTTAGACCCAGACTCATCCAAAAATCACACATGACCAGCCTGGCTTCCCATAGCAGATGGTGGGACCCCTATCCTTACCCATCTGAGCTTAAACTCGATGCTCTCTGACGGTCTTATGACCATCTCCCACCCATCCAGTCACTGAAGAAGGTGACCCCAGAAACCCTGTAGTTGGAGCAGAAATCTATATATTTGAGATTATTTAATCAGGAGCCATTTTGGGAAGGGGTTAAGTATTAAGGATGAGCTATAGTGTACCCTGGGACTGGAGAGATATAGCTCAGTGGCATAGTGCCTGTCTGACAAGCACAACGTCCTAAGTTCAATTCCTAGTTAGAGAGAGAGAGAGAGAGGAGGAGAGGGGAGAGAAGGGGAGAGGTGAGGAGAGCCTAAAGGCCCATAGGATAGCTCAGCGGACTAAGTGCCTGCTTAGGCAAGCACAGGGACTGGGGTTTGATCCCTGGCACCACATGCTGTGCCAGCCCCACCCCTGGGCACACTGAGCAGGCCACCAAGACCAGGAGTGGTGGCCCACGCCTGTAATCCAAGCTCTGGGGAGACTGAAAACAGGAGGATCACTATGAGTCCAAGCTGCATAGTGAGACTCTGTACCAAATATATTAAAGAAGAAGAGGAGGAGGAGGAGAATCTGTTATTTTAAAAATACAGAAATTTGCATGTTACATTAATTGCCTCTGTATTATTTCAATTTTAGTATATGTGCCACTGGAGCAGGAATAGGGCAAAGCAGTGTTTCATGTTAGTGCTAAATTTGGCATAGATTCCAAAATCAGAATTTAGCACCTTGCCAGAGATAGAAATAATATGATCTCTTGCATAAATAAAAACAATATGATCTCTTGGCAAAAATGGATGCCAAAGTCATTTGTGTAGGACTGTGCTTACTGGATACTAGCAGCTGTGTACTGTTCAGTTAAAGTAAAATTCAAGGGCCAGCGATATAGCTCAGCAGAGTAAGTGCTTGCTTAGGCAAGTGCAGGGGCCAGGGTTCAATCCCTGGCATCAAATGCTGTGCCGGCATCGGCCCTGCCCTGGGGCGTGCTGAGCCAGCAATGGAGTCTGGGCACCGTGGCACATGCCTGTAATCCCAGCCCTACGGAGGCAGAAATCAGGAGGATCATTACAAGTCCAAGCTGTGTAGTGAGACCATGCACAAAAAAAAGTAAAATTCAGTTCCTCAAATATGTATTACTATATACATTTCAAATATATCTATGTCTATCTGTCTATATAGCTATATATCTCGTGTGATAGTGCCAATATAGAATTTTCCAATATTGTAGGAAACTTTATGTGACAGCACTGGTCTAGAATTTTAAGCAAAATATCTCTGTTACATGGAAAAGTTGCTTTAACTGGAAAGAAAACTTGTGTTTTTCTCTGAAAGTTGGAGACACAAAAACAAGGATGTGCTGAGCTTTGGGTCAGTTAGAGAGTGCTTGCTGGACATGTACAATTGCCTGGATTTAATCTCCAGTAGCACCAAAAAAATATTGTCTTAGATGTTTTAGTAACTTACATAGAAAAGTGATTATTTTGTTTGTTTGCAACCAGAGATTGAAGCACATGCTCAATATGTTAGACATACAGCTTAATGTGAAGGCCTTAGCTTCAATTTCTAATACCACAAAATAAAACAGGGTCTAGAAGAAATAAATTTAAACTTACTATCTTTTAAGACTTGTTTGAAACTAATTGTGAAAAAAAAGAAAAGAAAACAAACAAACAAGGGGCCGGGGAGATGGCTCAGTAGAATAAGTGCTTCCCTGGCAAGCGCAAGGATCTGAGTTCAATCCCCAGTTCCACCAAAAAAAAAAAAAAAAAAAACTGATTGTGGCTGTGCATGCCCATGATCCCAACACCAGGGAGGCTGAGGCAGGAGAATTATTGCAAGTTTGAGACCAGCCTGGGCTACAAAGTGAACTCAAGACCAGCCTGAACTGCATAATGGGACTCTGTCTCAAAAGACTTGTTTGAGTAGAACTGATTTCTAATTATTCATATAATCTATAAATACTTGTGTATGTTTTCATTCATCTAAAGAACTAATACATAGAAGGTTCTTACTTTTTTTTAGGTTCTTACTGTTTAAAAATCATAGTATAGGGGCTATAGAGATAGCTCAGCAATCTGAAGCACATGCTTAGGCAAGCTTAGGCCGCCACAGGAGACTGTGGTTCAATCCCCAGCACCACATGCTACACCAGCCCCACCCTCACGGTAGGCTGAGCTGGCCAAAAAAAATTACAGTGTAAGTACTCAGGCAGTCTTTTTTCTTGTTATTCAGATTAGCTTTAAATAGCACAGTTTGGCCGGGGATATAGCTCAGTGGCACAAGCATTTGCCTAGGAAGTGCAGCACCTGGTGTTGAATTCTCAGTACCAGATGGTAGGTAGGTAGGTAGGTAGGTAGGTAGGTAGGTAGATAGATGATAGATAGATAGATAGATAGATAGATAGATAGATAGATAGATAGATAGATAGATAATTTGTGACCAGGGATGTATAGCTCAGTGGCATATTGCCTGCCTGGCATGTGCAAAGCCTTAGTTTGATTCCTGGTACAAAAAAAAAATGGGCAGGCATAGTGGCATGTCCCTGTAATGTCAGCACTGAGGGGCTGAGACAAGAGGTTTGCTGTGAGTTCAAGGCCAATTTGGACTACATGGTGAGTCAAGGCCAGTCTGAACTGCATAGTGAGACCCTGTCTCAAAAAGTCAAAAAATATAAAAGTACAACTTGTAGTGGCATATGCCTATAATTCCAGTACTCAGGAGGCTGAGGCAAGAGGATCACTGCAAGTTCAAAGCCAGTTTGGGCTACATAGTGAGCAACCTGAACTACATAGTGAGACTCTGTCTCAAAAAAAAAAAAAAAAAAAAAGCAAGACCCTAAATAAGTAATATAACTTAAAGTAATATTAATAGGATTAAGAATTAAGAGTGTAAGAATTTGTCTTTTAAATTTTCATTTGTCTTGCTCTAATATCCATCTCATCAAATACTAGCTGGGAAGACACTTCAAATATTTAATATCGAGATGAAGAGTAAAATGAAGGCTCATACTATGGCAGAAGAGGTGATTTTCTGGAAGTGGATTTCTGTGAACACTGTTGCCTTGGTGACTGAAACTACAGTCTATCACTGGAGCATGGAAGATGACTCCCAGCCTATAAAGATGTTTGATAGACTTGCCAGTCTGGCTGGGTGTCAGATGATCCAGTACCGTACTGATGCACACCAGAAGTGGCTGCTTCTCATTGGCATCTCGGCTCAGGTAAGCTTCAGGAGCTGGTCTGGTGTAACTCAGGCCTAATGCAGAATGGATTTGTTTAAGGTTCATAAAGACCAAAGTAGATCTGTGACTAAAAGAAATAAAGATTACAAAGTAGTATAAACTTTGGATCAAATTATTTTAATTCAGGTTTGGCCCTTTACTGTATTCCATCAGGTTACTGGTGGTTTTTAAATTTATTTATTTATTTTTGTGGTACTAGGGATCGAACACAGGACCTTGTACTTGCCAGGCAGGCACTTATGCTGCTGAGCTATATCCCCAGCCCTTGGTGTTCATTTTATAAACTGCTTCTGGCATAGTTTTGAGAAGTTAATTAAAAACAAAGAAACAAACATTTCGTTGTTACAGTGTCTCACTACACAACTCAGACTCGTCGTGATCCTCCTGTTTTCAGTTTCCTGTGTGCTGAGATTACAAGCCTATACCACTACGTCCAGACTCTGGCCGGGGTGGAACAGGCATGGCATGTAGTGCCTGGATCGAACTGCAGTCCCTGCACCTGCCTAAGCTTGCCTAAGCAGGCACTTTAGTCTGCTGAGCTATCTTGCCAGCCCTGAGAAGTTAATTGTTGACATTTTATAGAACAATTTAGAACCTATAGATTTATGAAAGTATTTTTAGGTTATATTTTAAGGACTCAAGGGACTATTAGTAATTCCTGTCCATTTCTAATAAAAGTTATATTTTTCATCTCCTTTTTTTATTCCTCATGCCTCATCAAGTCACTAGATAACTTGAGCCCTACATGATGTTTTGTACTGGGAATATAGATCTTTATTGGCCAGTCCTGGCCTTTGAACCATCTATAAGTGGAAACTTATGTCTTTCAGTATTTTTGTACATGGAGAGCTATCCAATGTTGGGATAGAAAATTGTGGGAGCCATGAGAGAGTACCTTATGTTAGGAAGGGCCCACACAAAAGGGTAGCTAAGTTACATCCTGCCCAGTATACAAGTATAGTTTGGAAGTATATGCATAGGCATGGAAATGGAAGAGAACAGACTGGAGAATTGGCTCAGTGGCATAAGTGCCTGTCTGGAAATGGAAGAGAAACAACTCTTCTACAATTTTTGATAACTGGAGGGTTCATAAGTCACAGACAGAAGAAATGCTGGAGAGATGGGTGGGCCCCAGAGTGAGGTGCATGCTCTGTTTTGCAGGCAATATAAATTCTTTAGTGAATTTTAAGAAATAGTGATGTAATTAACTAACCCTCTTGTCAGTGTTATAAAATGAAAATACTATCATTAATGCGGAGGATGAACTCGAGGCTGAGAGAGTAATTAGCAGGCAGATATAAGAATAAAGCTGTGGGCTGGCAAGATAGCTCAGTGGTCTAAGCACCTGCTTAGCAAGTACAGGGACCCAGGTTCAGTCCCTGGCACCTCATGCCATGCCAGCCCTACCCTGGGTGTGCCACACTGGCCACTGAGTCCTGGCGTGGTGGTACATGCCTGTAATCCCAGCGCTGGGGAGGCTGAAAACAGGAGGATCATTACAAATCCAAGCTGCATAGTGAGATGTCCACCAAAAGCCTCATACAGTCATAGGTGGGGCGGTTTTGGAGGTCACTGGATCTAGAGTATGCTGCTGGGATCAAGTATATGACTTGTGATTGTTTCATAGTATGATGCCAGGATTCAGGCTGCCCCACCCTTGGTGTGAGTACAATCCCCTCTTAAGGATGGGTATCCTGGATAAACCATAAAGGCCAGAAAAAGGGTCATCCATTGTCATTTGTTGCTTCTTTGCTACTTTGCTGTTTTGCGGCCTTCTGCCTGCTATGAAGTGTTTCTCCTCTGTGATTTTCCTCTGCCATGCTTCCCTTCCTTGGAGCCAGCCAACTATGAACTGAAAATTTTACAAACTGTGAACTATGGAAAACCTTTTCTACTTTAACTTTGGATATCAGGTATTTTATCTCATAATGGGATAAATAACTAAGACAACTGACATTTTTTCCTACTCGACCTGTTCAGATATTTTATATAATTTAAAAGATTTTTTTTAAAGTCACCCAGCCTTTCAATGACTGGCCCCTAGCTTTCATTTAGCCTCAGATATTTCTCATTTTCAGGGCTGATGGTAAAGCTAGAGGTTTAGTTGGTGACAGTAGGTTTAGTTGTAGGAAACCCCGTAACAAATCTAGGATAGTGGTCATTCCCACTGCACCTAAATGTGAAAAAACATTTGTAATACTATCACCTATGATACAACTTGTTTGACTCTGAGTGCCAAAGCTGAGCACCAAAGGAAGAACTTTAAGCCAAGAAAATATGCCATGTTGGGCTGGGGAGATAGCTCGGCAGTCTAAGTGACTACCTGGCAAGTATAAGGACCTTGGTACCACATGCTTACAGGCCCCAGAACCCCAAGTGTGCTGTGCCATCCACTGAAACTGAGCATGGTGGCCCATGCCTGTAATCCCAGTGCTGGGGAGGCTGAGAACAGGAGGATCATGAGTCTAAGTTGCATAGTAAGACCCATTACTAAAAAATGAATGAATGAATAAATAAATGATTTTTTAAAAAAGTGGGGGCCTGCCCCTTATCTCAGTTCTTTAAGTGGCTGCTTCAACAAAGCAGTCAGGCTCATGTTCCAGTGGTTCAATCCCCACAACTCAAGCCAGCCAAACCTGTCCTGAAGGCATTCGGAGCAAAATAAAATGTTCTGTGTTGTATCAGGTTAACTGTATAGATTTCCTCTTTGGACCTGCTGATTGCTGTTAGGTAGTCTTTATGGAGCTTTTCTTGTGTGGAAACTACATTTAGTTTTCCATTGAAAGGATTTGGACATTGCTGAGTATTATGGTGGACAAAAGTAGCAGATGGTTCAGGTGTTGCTCATAGAAATGAGGATGGAGGAGTGTTTGTGATAAGAGGATTGAAGAGGGTTGTATTGCCTGGAGTACACCTTAAAGAGAACCTAAGAATACTAAGATGAGTTCTGAAGAAGTCATAACCACAAGTCAAATTTGTGTAACAGATACTGTTATGATAAATTACAAGGTAATATGAGCATGGAAAAAACCAAATGAAATCTCTGTACCTTTTTGAGGTCAGGAAAGGAAATAGGAGAGCAATTCTCATAGCCTAATTCATGTTGTTCAGAAGTCATTTGAGGTCTGGAGTTGTAGCTTGGTGGTAGAGCACTTGCCTAGCATAATTGAGGCCCTGAGCTCTATACTCATCACCACGAGAAAAAAAATAGTCATTAGGAAAGCACTAAGCCTTTAATATTGCTTTCAGAAAGAGCCCTCTAAACTTATGGACCCTGCCACTGAGAGAAAATGTCTTACCTTGACAATTTTCCCTTACTTGCCCAAAATACGTTTTACTTTCAAACTCCCTATTTATTTTATGAATCTGGATCTTTATACAGAATCTGGTCTGTATGAGTTTTGTCTTTCCAGAAATGGTGATATTTGTGGAGTTAGACAGGAATGGAGCTTTGAGCTAACAGTCATAAAACTAGACAGCAGTTCCAAGTCTGGTGCTATGACTATAACCTTAGGCAAGTCACTTGAAAATTTACTCAACACTTATTACTTGCTTCTAATAATTTACTTACAGTCTTTGTTCTGGCTTTACCAGAGTACTTAATTTGTATTTTTGTTTTTCTAAAGCATAGTATATCAGCTAATGTTCACTTAAGGAACAGATTTAATATAAGATATATATGGATTTACAAGGCAAGCTTCCAGAGGCTACCTACAGAGTCAGGTGTGGAAGACTGCAAAAGGACTGGCTGCACAGAAAAATCCAGTCAGAACTGAAAGGTCTGAAACCCACCAGAGTCCTGTGCTAGTCCAGAAGCCAAGGGTCTGTGATGGAAGGCTGAAGAGTCTGTGATGGAAGCCAAGAGACTGACATCCAAGACAAAGGCAAAGACTGGAGCTCCTCCAAAGAAACAGAAGCAAGCCTTCCTTCTTCTTTCCCTTTTTTATTGTATTCAGGCAATAAGACTATTGAGTGGTGCCACTCCCACCTAGGGTGGATCATCCATCTTCAGTAAATCCCTTTAGTCAACCCCAGAACTATGCTAAACTAATCAGTTGAGCACTATTTCCTCAAGTTGGCAAACATTTAAGTACCACCATCACCCGCTTCTTAATTTGACAGACACATTTCCTTAAACCGTACTTAGTCTCAAGATACAAAGGAAAGTTCACAGTTATGCCTAACATGGTGTATCTATCCTATATACATGTGGAAATGCACTAATTTCCTGCCCAGAATAGAAGACAAGTTTTTCTTTGGGTGATACTCTTAACATTTCATAATTTGAACCTTGTAACACAGGTTTAACAATACTTAAGAACCAATATTAACTCTATGAACATTCTATTACATAGGAAGCATATTAGGAGAGAACAATTACAAATTGCAATCTTTGTTTCTCTAACTGATCATGGGGTAGTAGCTGATAATTATAACTCTTTTACTACCCATTTTATGTTCCCTTCAACTTCAGCAAGCACCTCATTAGGTTTTAGTCCTTTCCCTGGAGGGATGACCCATACCTTCCTGATGGTTCTGGGCCATTTGTCATCCTGTATTGGGTTGTTGTAGTTTCCCACTACTTTAATAATGGGATTTGGTAATACTAAGAAGTGCACAAAGGGATCTCCTGGGCTCCATCTACATCCTTTCCTCTAACGTGGCATAATAGTAAAATTTCCCCTTGATAGTCTGGGTCAGGCACCCCTGCCAACACTTGTAACACCCTTTTTTAGCTTATTTACTCAGAGGCTTAAGGAGCCCAAAGTGATCAAAATGAAGTCTTAGCTTCTAGTTCAATAGAATCATTGTTGTGCTTCCTGGTATAAGCCTTCCAACCTCTGGAACTAAGACTTCTACACCAGAAGAACATAAGGTTATGGGAACAAGAAGCAAAAATTTTGCTAATGAATCCCTAGAAGTAATGGTGAGTGGTATCATTCTTGCTTCCACCCCTTGATTTCTGGACTTGTGGGTCC